TGATTTTAACGCATACTGTTGACAGGGCTACTTGTTTGGTTGCAGGCTGGCTGGCAGGCTGAGGCTGGGGAATTTTTGTGTTATGTATTGTTGTAAGCCTTCCCAATGTGCGCCCTGCTATAAAGGCCGGTTATAGATTCATGCATGTAACATTTTTTCTAGTTCCACTCTCAGTCCTGACTGAAACCCCCCCAGTTGCCCCGTCCTGCCTGTCACTGGAGCTGATGTCTCCTGCCCCCCGCAATGCCCTGATCAGCCTCCTGACAGCTTCTTTCCTCCCTGCTGGCTGCCAGCTGCTGAATCGGATCTGTGTCCTCTCCTATACCCACTGCCTCTGCCGACACAGGCAGGGGAGAGCAGTGGGGATCAGAGCAGACACATACAGAAGCTTGTAGCCAGCGTCCAGAGGGGAGGAGAGAAGCTGGGGATGCAGCACATTTTCAGAGGTTTTTTTGGAGGTTTTTTTTCTCATCCAAAATGTGTCGGCAGACGAAATTAGGGTGCATCCCTACTTTCTACCATGTAAACCCCAGACAGGGGAAGGGAACATGATGAGGAGGACTGTGTTCCTCCTGGGATTTCCATAGACCTTCAAAGGTTCAAGTAGGCTTCTCTGGAGAAAGGCTGTTAAGCAGCAAAGTACTACATCAGACAGTGAAGAGTAACTTTATAGGGAATATAGTTTTGAGTCTAATCTGCATATGAGAAGTCTTTAGTAAAGTTTCTGAGAATTTAGATTTAGTTTGAGCCTCCATTGTGCCCAGCTGTTCTGTCAAAATTATCTGTGGATTGAGAAGTTATGTTAGGAGTGGTTGTGTGGGAACTTGAAGACTGGGCACTAGGTGTGTTTAATGGCTAAATAAGTGTGGTCACAATGGAACAGAGAAAGATGTCTCTCTGGTCCAAGGCCTCCTAGAGTGAGCTGTGAGACCCGGGGCTGCAGAAGGACAGGGTTGAATTTCAATCAGACGCCTCCTTTTATTGAGTGCTTCAGAACGGAGCTTGGTTGAATTTCCTGAGATCGCTTCCCTGGAAACTCCCAGTATTATGAGAGTGGCCTAAGTCATAAAGATGTGTGTGATGTTTCTTCCTTCAATTCACAAATCATCCTCAAGACTCAACACTGAAGGTCTCCAACCTCCATCCAGCTACCCTATGCCAATTCTCTAACTTCTGATCGCCACAAGCTTACTCACCATGTTCATGTAATTAGTAACTTCATATATTCTGTTTTTCACAGCTGTGGCATTTTGTTTATATTTCTCAAACTGAAAAAAAAAATACATTAAAAAGAAAAAATCTTTTCAATTTTATGATTTTATACAATCTAACGCTATAATACGGCTTGCTACAAAAAGAAATGACTTACCAATGATTTATCAGCAACCATATACATTTCTATATACTTCCATGAATTCTGAAGTTTGTCAATTTCTTCCTACAAAGAAGGAATACATTACACATTGTCAGGAGGGACTGCCAATAATAATTAGCAATCGCCTGTTTGCTGTCGGAATCAAATGTCAGTTGCTACACAGTGCATGGAGAACAATTATATTATAAATGCTGCATTCTGCCTTGAGCAAAAAAGTTACTTTTATTGGTCTCACGGTGAAAACGGCAAAGCAAAAAATCCAAATATGACAATATTGATACCGATATGTTGAAAATAAATGGAATAAGTGTCAGCATAACCAGGACAGTATTGGGTTGGAAGGCATGAGGGCCAGTACTAATAAGGTATGATAGTCTGGTGGCCCTGAATGACCGTACATCAACCAGATGTGACACTTACAAGGTTATTTACTCAGCTGCCGAAGGCAGCCGAGTGAATAACCAACCCGAAGTGAACGGTTTGGCTATTCCCTCCGGCTCACTTGAATGACCGTACATCAACCAGATGTGACACTTACAAGGTTATTTACTCAGCTGCCGAAGGCAGCCGAGTGAATAACCAACCCGAAGTGAACGGTTGGTCTATTCCCTCCGGCTCAGTACGGCTGATTTCAGCCATACATTGGCTGCCTTAGGCTGCCTTCAGTCAGCCGAAAATGCAGCCGAAGTGCAGAAGGACTTCGACTGGATCGGCTGAGCCGAAGCTCTGGCAGCTCACTCACTGCCGTTTGCCCCTATTCTCATAAGGGCGGAACGGCATTGAGTGAATAGCTAAATGCCGTCGAGCGGCATTCGGCTCGGCTGTGCTGCTTAATACCTCCGTGGTACCAAGCAGAATAGAAAATAAGTGAAAAGAATGTATAAAAAAAAAAATTGTTGCAAAATTATGTTAAAAATGTTAAAAAATAGGAGGATTCAAAATAAAATAAAAAGGTACCTACTGATGACCCCTGTACTCCATGCATTGCCTACTGATGTCCCCTGTACTCCATGCATTACCTACTGATATCCCCTGTATTCCATGTGTTATCTATTTATGACCCCTGTTCTCCCTGTTATCTACTCATGACCCCTGTAGTCGCTGCATTACCTACTCATGACCCCTAAAAGTGGGCATGGTCAGTACAGTGTCCCCATATTTCATTTTGACAATCTGGTAACCTTATATGTAGTGCACCTAACCTGCCCCATCAATACTCCCCCTAAAATCTGCCACCACAAAGCTGAGATTATCACTCAACCTGGCCAAAATGTTGGGAACAGGCTAACCATCCTAACCTTTATATTACTAGGCTGTAACGGAATTCTCCTGTAAATCTGAATAAAGTTCCCCAATATTGGCCAGTATGGTTTGTGGGGAGTGCAGTCCATTGCTCCTGTTTTATACATGATCTCCAGTGTCTCACCTTATTATCCAAAGCAGGTAACACCTCTTGAGCCAACAAAAATTCCTCCCAAGGTTCACTAAGCGTTCCACAGGTTTTGGGGGGCTCTTTCTCTTCATATACAACATGTTCTTCACTTGTCAGGGGCTCAATTAGGAACCTCCGGCCCTGTGTCATGATAACCCCGCTTCAAAAAAGAGCGAGAGTATTGTTTACACATAGCAGTGTGCAACTAATGCGGTCTTATTCCTACATCATAAGCACATTTAGAAATGTTAGCAGCAGTTGTACAAAAAAAAAATCCAAGAAAAATCATGTTTTTATTTTAGGCAAGTCACATCTTAGCATTTGGACACCGGAGTGTATATTGCATAACAAACCATTCTTGTTATACATTTCACATACTGTATGCAGGTGCTTATATCTGCACTTATATACATGCATTGTAGGCTCAGAGTAAATACCATGAGGGTAGGCTTTGGTTGTCTACACACAATGGACCGATGTACGCACATATTCTTTTGTAAATCCCACTGTGAGTGGATCTGAAACTGCACTACACCTTCTTTAGCATGTAAATGTAATTACAACACAGAACTGCAGGCACATGGTAAAGCTACATACTAGGGATGCACCGAAAATTCGACATCCAAAACATTTTGGCCGAAGATGGTACTATGGGCAATATGGCAATGGTACAAAAATGGGCAAAAATGGAGTGCATCCCTAGCTTCTCTACTCCCTGCTGGGCCCCGGCTGAAGCTTTGGTCTTTGTCCCCTCCAATCCCTGCTGCCCTTCCCCACCTGTGTCAGCAGAAGCAGCAGGGATCGGAGGGGACACAGAGCTGATCCAGCTGCTGGTGCCCAGCAGGGAGGAGAGACCTATCAAGAGGCCAAGCGGGCAGTACGGGAAGGAGAGACCTGTCAGGAGGCCGAGTGGGGAGGAGAGACCTGTCAGGAGGCCAAAAAGGGTGGAGCGTGGAGGAGAGCACGGCTTTGGTGACTGGTGGGAGGGGGCAGAGCAGTCAGGATGTAGAATGGAGCACAAACACTAAACAATCAATACTAATCAATAAATAACTGAGGACTAAGGTCCCTGTGTGTGTTTGATCACTATGTGAATGAACAGGAACTGCTATACATCATGTCCTGTTTATTTATAATTGGGAACATAGTAAATATTTACTATCTGCTCTCTTTATGAATGAACAGGAGGCAGCTCAGTACAGAGACTTCCTGTCCATTCATGACTGGGTTCATAGTAAAATATTTACTATCTCCAGATTGTGAATGAACAGGAAGTCTCTGGACTGAGAGCTTCTTGTTCAATGAGTGCTGAGGCTGCAGAAAAAGAGATTGAGGACTCTGGGTCCTCAATCTCTTTTTCTATTTTAAAAGGGAAATATCAGGGGTCTGTTTAGAACCCCCAATATTTCCCCAGAGTGCTAACAGGAAAGTAAAAAAAGAAAACATAAGAATAAAAAAATGATAAGATAATTTTAAAAATTTCAAAAAGGTTTGGAAAAAAAGTCATTTTCGGATTCGGCCTGACAAATCTTGAAATTTCAGTCTCTGTCTAAAAATGTCATTTTGGTGCATCCCTACTACATACAATATCAGATATCCTATTTTCTGTTTAAGCATGGATACTTTAAATTATTTATCCTTACCTTATCCCAGAGCAGGTGCTAATGCTGGCCACTGATTGGCTGTCATTCTCCACATAGCCCTGATAGTGACAGTGATCCTGCACAATATGAGAACAACCAACTATCAATTGTAACCACATTCATGAAATATTGTACATCCTCAGGCAGGAAATGTAAAGGCTCAGCAATGTAAACAATGTTTTTATTGTCTGTCTTGTCTTATTATATTTATATTTTGCTTATTGACATAGACAGGTTTTGGTTTGTTACAAGCAATGCACAGATACCTCAGGCAGCTCGTTTTAGATAGTGGAAGACTGTTTCCTGTTTTAATATGTTACATTTCTTTCTTTGTAGATCTCAGATAAGGGTCTGGCTTGGATTTTGGAGGGGCCACACAATGTTTTTTAAATTTACGCTTTTTTCGTTTTAAACTGGGTGAGTGCCTTGAGGTTTTGCGGACTATTAAAGGGTGTCATGACTGAAATACGGTGTTCTAGATTCCCAAAATATAAAATTAAACCCCTTGTATTGTGGCGGAAAGTTCAGTAAATCAAATGTCCTAACTGTGAATGTAATTTGTGTTCTACATAGAAATACTGTATTAGTTGTCAAGAAAGAATGTGACTTTACCTTTATGTTCTTGTTAGGGCTTCTCATTATCGGTGTGCCATCCTGATGGTAACTTGTCTCTTTGTAATTATCAGCTATCAGGTCCCTGAGGGAAGCAAAGTGTGGAAATTAGGTTTTAGAAGGGTTGACAGCTTCTCAACCTCCCCCATCCTTCTTTTAATGCCCATTGAGTCACCCATTCTTCTTTTAGTGCCCATTGAGTCACCCATCCTTCTTTTAGTGCCCATTGAGTCACCCAACCTTCTTTTAGTGCTCATTGAGTCACTCAACCATCTTTTAGTGCCCAGTGAGCCACCCATCCTCATTTTAGTGCCCAGTGAGTCACACATCCTTCTTTTAGTGCGCATTGAGTCACCCATCCTCCTTTTAGTGCGCATTGAGTCACCCATCCTCCTTTTAGTGCCCAATTAGTCATCGCTTCCAAATGCTCCAACAGGTCACTTACTCATTCCTCTCCAGGTGTAGAACAAGAGGCTTTCCTTCAATGTGTAATTCATACATAGCCACATGTGGATATTGGTCCTGATAAAAATGTCTGCAGGATTTGGAATATTGTGAATTTTGTGGGTAATTGCGGGGATAGGGTTCTGCTTTTTTTTTTCTGTAGTTTGAACTCAATAGACTTGTATATTTTTTCAACCTGAATAACTATGTAGCGATGTAATTTTGATTGGGGGTGCTTTTTTTTTACTGCCTGGGTAGTCAGCTTTCTTTTGTGTCTAGGAGCACCCACATAGGCCAGGTGGTGAATTGGCGCATTGTGGAAAAGCTGGATTTACTATTGGAGGTAAGCATTAGTGTTATGACAGGGGTAGCAACACCTAAAGCGCTGTGTCCAGCAGCATCATAGAAGGCAAATATTTAGAAGCGATCTGGCGACAGGTAAGTCGCCAGGATCGCTTCTGTTGTAAAGCCGACAGTCGGCTCTACAAGTTTAAACAGAGTCCCGGCGGCAAAAGTCACCGGGAGTCTGTTTAAACAGCCCCGATGCTGGCGACGTACACTGTACGTCGTCAGTCACGAAGGGGTTAAAGATTCAGCCTGCTGGGGACCTCGCAGTGGCTGTCTTTGACTGTATAGGTCCAGCTGCACATCACCTCCTCCTCCTTCACGCAGAGACCAGCACAGCCCTGGAGAGCCCCACACCCGCCTGGAGAGCCCTGCAGAACCCCACACACGCCCATACACCCCTGGGGAGCTCAGCACCTGCCTGTACAGCCCTGGAGAGCCCGGCAACCGCTTATGCAGCCATGAAGAGACCCACATTCAGCCCTGGTGAGACCCGCACGCAGCCCTGGTAGCAACCGCACACAGCCCTGGTGAGATGCCGCATGCAGCCCTGTTGAGACCTCATGCAGCTCTGGTGAACCACACACAGTCCTGGTGAGACCCACACAGCCCTGGTGGCACTGCACAGCGCAGGGGAGACCGCACGCAGCCCTGCTGAGACCCCATACAGCCCTGCTAGACCCCGCACATCCACCTGAGACCACACACAGCCTCCAGAGACCACGCACAGTCCTTGTCAGACCCCCCACAGCCTCCAGAGACCCTGTTACTTCCCTGGTCAGACCCTGCACTGCCCTGGTCAGACCCCGTACAGCCTCTCGAGATGCCGCACAGCCCTGGTGCGCAACACAGAGTGTGTAGCTTCATATTATTCTGCATTGCTGTATAATGTATTGCTGGGATTTGTAGTCCCTCTACAGCTTGGAGTCAGTGGCAGAACTATCCGGGTCACAGTGGTTGCAGCTGTGATGGGGCACTCCACCGCTGTCCTAAAATCATTAGCTTGCATTGTTTTAGAAAAACTGTCACAGCATGCTAAAAAAAATAGTTTTTAAATGGTATCGGTAATTGGTATCGGCGAGTACTTGAGGAAAAGTATTAGTACTCGTACTCGGTCTGGGAAAAATGGTATCAGTGCATCCCTAATTGCTATTGTTGTGAAGACGTCCATTAGATATGTAAATTGTGTTTAGTTCTTAATGGATATTTGTACGAATCTCGTTAAATTTGGACATTTGGATGAATTGAAAGCAGATAATTTATTCTATACACACATACTGTATATTTACACACATATAACTTATACAACAAAAGTATATTTTTACCTGAGCGTCTCTTTTGTACTCGGCATGAATTCGCCGTGGAACAACAGTTTCATACGTCTGTCCTGAAGGCAGGGCATGTAGATCTGCAACTGAGTAAAAAATAAAAGCTAATAATATTAATAAAGAGGATTATTATTATTATTTCTACTAGAATAATTACTACTGTTTCTATTATTATTATTTCTACTAGATAATTACTACTGTTTTTATTATTATTATTATTATCATTATTATTATTCATTTGTTATTAGGAACAATCAACAAGACAGTGAATATTTTTATTTGAATGAATTGTCCAAAAACTATTTGCATTTGGAACTGGAGTTGATGGGGGAAACAAGGAAAATACATTGTAAATGTAGCTGAGCAAGTTCATTTATATTTCTATCTGATTGAAAATAAAAGATAATGAGATGCAAATGTTTAGTGGAAGTCGCTACTAATGTTTAGTGGAAGCCACTACCAGAGTCACCAACATCAATAATTCCCTGTGTTAAATCTTGAGAAAGAATTGACATGGGGAACATTAAAATTAGCACTCATGGAAAACCATATAATTCTTGTGAATTAGTTACCTGGTAAATTACTAAAAAGCATGCAACTGCATTATATAAAACAGTAATATGTACTTCACAAAATATACATAGACTATTGGGGTGATTAAAGCCCAACTCTGGGCACAAAAAGCTTCCTGGTTTTAAAGTGTACCTCCCCCCTACCTTAAATGAACACTCCTTTCTTCTTCTTCCTGTTCCCCTGAGGCACTTGTGATGTAACCCTAGGAAAGTTACGTCACCAGTCCCTTCCAGGGAGTTCTCATGGTATAATTGCAAGAAAAAAGGCCCTTTTTCCTGAAATCTCGGAGATCTCAGAAAAAGGGGTTCCTTTTTATGCACTGCTATGGCTTCAGCAACATAATGACTCCCACATTGCTAACACCATGGCAACATATAAACAAATACAGACCAGCCAGATCTCATACCAGATGCATGACATGGACATTATCGGTGAGCCGGCAGAGAGAGCAAGGAAGTCGGCCACTGACGGGCTTCTATTTATTAGTTTTTTTAATGGATTGGCATTGGGTGCAGAGCAGGGCATGATGAACCAGCAGGAGTGTGGTAAACAGAAGAAGACGAATGTAAGTATCTCTAGCCCAATAGGGTCCAGGGTAGAGCTTCTAAAATGCCTAGACAATGGTGTTTTATGGGATAAACTGGTGGTACTGGTTGGTCTGTCTTGGCAGTATGTAGGTGGTTAAGCACTGACCACATCATTTCCCTGTCTGAGGCATAATTTAAGTTTTTTTTCCCTGGATAAGCAGTGTGTAGTGTGTTTTAAATAGAGAGACTGCATTCAGGCTGTGCTGGAACAGCCTGTAGGTCTAAGCAGACCCACATTGTCTTACAGCTAGCCAGGAGACTCAATATTTTGTTGTGTATTTGCCGACATGGACCCCCTGCAAGGGAATCTCTTTTGTTTTGTGTCTGATACACCACAGATGAATAAACTTCAGCAGGAAGCCCTTAAACACACTTTGAGGACTGGACTACTTCTCTGTAAACTGCACGGTTGGATTTTACTACTATGATTGGTGGACATACTGCTGAAAGCAGATGGTGTTGTAGGTGCAGAACACTGCAAGCTATACCACCTAAAGGCATAGTGCATTCATGTGTAAGTTCTGAATCTGCAACATGGGGGACCTGTTAAAGGCATTGCTGCAAGGTATTGGCAATCAGCAAAAAGCTTATCAGCAGAATACACAGCAGCAAAAGATCCTGGAACAATGGCAAGAAACTAACAGCCTGATGGCTCAGGTTCAGGTGAGTGCTTTGGCCTAGGCAGCAGAAACATTGACAGGAAGTGATGCAGGATGGATGCACTTATCCATAGATAACGAGTCCAAATACATGTGAAAAAAAGTTACTCCACAATGTTTTACATTTGCAGGCAATGGAATGCATGCCCTCCTATACTTCAGGAGCCTGGTTAGCTTGGTATAACAGTATACCCATCACCAGGAAGGAGTAGTGTGTACAAGGTGACTGCAAGTAGTACCCCACAGCTTTGGTGAGCTTTGAAACCAGTCATGAATCTCTATTTCATGAAGTAACTATGTCCCATTACTGTTGCACAGTGTAATTATGGGGAGAGACTTTCCACTATTCTGAGAACTGTGTAGCAGGGAGGAAAAGGCTCCTGAATTTTAAAATACCATAGTGTCCATGTACAGGACACCTAACCCATTTGAGCAAAACTCTGATGATAGTGCTGTAAGGGTGACCACTGATGAAAGAGTATCTCTTCCCCTAGCACTTTCCACTTAATAACAGGAGGTGTCCCTAAACACCAGGTGCCCAGTATGCAGAAGCTAGAGGTCTCTCGGGAAAACTTTGGAACTGCCAGTTACATGACCTTACTCTCGCAAAACCTGGAAAAATGTAAGGTGAACAATGAGAACCCAGTAACTCTTATGGTTTAGACTGTGTTTCCTTATACTGCAGTTCACAATTGCTTTTTCCCTGAGCATAGGGCAAAATATTCTGTACATGGATTTAATAAAACATTATGCTTTCTGTAAAAGAGAGGTCTTAGCTGACCTAGCAAGCTTTATAGAACCTGAAGATCTTATATTAGCCTAAGAAAATTACACATCTCCCATCAGCTCAAAACTTTCGATTTCAGTATTGTTACTTAAAAAAATAAAAGAAGAAGAATAACACATAAAGAAAGAAACAATCATAGAGGAGCTACTTTCATACTGTGTTACAATGTGTGATAGTATATTGAATGCAGGAAAAGGTCTGTGTTACATCTAACAGACTATAGTCCTATTTGCTGCTAGCTTTTAGATCCACGGTTAATTATGAAAGTTAAACCCTGAGCCAGAGCATATAGAAATGTTATATTTTTTGAAGGAAGGTAGTGGAAAAAAGTGAACAGGATGGAGAGTGAAAAGAAAGAAGCAGGAAAAAAGAGAGAGGGAAACCAAGGTAAAGGAGTAAAGAGAAATGCAGAAAGGTATAGATATCGATAAGGGAAAGGAAAGAAGACTGATGGTAAACCTAGAAGTCTGATCGTTGTTCACAAAAATGTAAGTGAGGTGGCTTGTATAAGCTATGAAATGTCTTTAGAACAAGTCCAGCAGAATGTGACCAACTACTAATAGATAAACCATGACCTGGATAACTTAGAACCTTCACAGACAAGTCAAGAAGGTTTTTTGAACCAACAAGAATAAATTATTTCTGTGGCAGAACACATTCTTATATGCTATGTGTATCAGGCTGTATTCTATACAAAGATGTTCTATATCATTCAGTGGCATAAAAACTCAAAATCAGCGCTCTTCTATGAAAACAAAGCTCTTCTACTTAAACAGAGGTCACTTATGAAAATATATGGACTGTCTTTGTATATTGTTGGAAGCAGTGGCAGTATACTATTGTTTGTATGTTTGAATAATTTAAACATCCCCTTTTGTCTATTATATGTACATTTTACACCTTTTATTGTGATTTTTCTAAATGATTCTAATGCTGTTGTACAATAAGGCAGTATTCTGTATAGTAGGCACCAGTTTGCCAGTAAAGTGCTTCTATAAATGATCTACAGTTTGTGGCAATTGCAGAGGTAGATGGCTGAAAGTGTAGACGTATAAAGCTTAGAGACAAGCAATCCAGTGTGGTTGACAAGGGTATAGACCCAAAACCTGCACTGGTATCCTTGAAGCTCTCCTTAGACCCCTGCCATAGTAGAAATTAGTTCACACTTACTGCAATAAATGGGAAACAAAGTTATATACTCACCTAAGACCTGGAGGATGAGCATCACCAATGCAGACATGGCGGACACTAACATAGTACCTGTTGGATCACACAGTGGGTGCATATGTATGGGGAAATGGATCTGAAGAAAGCAGTAAGTATTCTCTATCATTTATACCCTGATAAGCAAACAGGTCCATTGTCTAAATGTTACACATGTTTGTCCCCAAGCAATGTTACATTGTGTACCTTACGCCTGGGGATGAGAGTTACTGTTGGCATTGATGTAAGAATGTCAGCGTATGGTACCTGTCAATCAAGCAGTAGAGAAGGGACTTCTCATTTGTCTCTAGCATTACATCACTATTATTTTCTTCAACTAATATTTCTAGTTGTGTGCTTACCCTGTAAGATGTGAGCATGATCTAAGCTTTTAAGTACCAGTATGACTTATACTAGCTAAATCGCTTTTCCAGGGGCTCCCAATGAATGTACTGTGCATCAACGATGGCATTCATACTTACTGCAAGGGGAACTTTTGGAGCCTTAAGATGGAGGTCCAGAAGTCAAATAGCATACATTCAAATAAGTGCGTGCATAGAACCCCAGTACATGCTGCTTTGTGGAAACGGAGATTCTAATGATGGCTACTGTTATCCAATCTGTATTTGTAAGTATATATGTGATATAAATCATCAATGGAAAATTTCTACCGTGTTTCCCCCGAAAATAAGACACTGTCTTATTTTTTTTTTGCACGAAAAAAGAAACTAGATCTTATTTTTGGGGGATGTCTTACCGGGCTGGGGGAGGAGTACTCACAGGTCTGGACGTGTTCCCGGAAAGGCGGTGTGCTGTTGCCGGTTCCAGTGTCGAAGTTGGCGGATGATATGCCGCTTCCATCGGGCGTGTGGGCAGGGGGTCGTGTGGGCGGGAGCTGCGGCAGGCTGGCGTGTGGGCGAGAGCTGTGGTCGGCTGGCGTGTAGGTGGGCGTGTGGGCGGGGCGGGAGCTGCGGCCGGTCTTTATATTTAAAATTCAGTTACATGTGTAGCTACCCCGAAAATAAGACCTAGCGCTATCTTCAGGGATTTCTATAATATAAGACCTACCCCGAACTAGGTCTTATTTTCGGGGTAGGTCTTATATTACAGAAATCCCTGAAGATAGCGCTAGGTCTTACTTTCGGGGAAACACGGTATACCTGTAGGCTTAAGAATCCATGTGATGTGTGGTAAAGTCCTATTGTAAACTTGGTGACTATGCTGCAGGGCTGGAGTGGTGATAGTTCAAGGGCAGAGGGCTGATTATTATTATTACTACAGGTATTTTATATAGCGCCGACAATTTACGCAGCACTTTACATAGTTGCACATTCACATCAGTCCCTACCCTCAAGGAGTTCACAATCTAAGGTCTCTATCTCACATGCATACATACAGGGCCAACTTAGAGAGGAGACAATTTACCTACCAGCATGTCTTTGGAGTGTGGGGGGAAACCGGAGTACCCGGCGGAAACCACCGCAAGCACAAAAATGCAAACTGGGGAAAATGAAAAAAATGAAAAAATGCAAACTCCTTGCAGATAGTCACCTGGCCGGGATTTGAACCGGGGACCCCCAGTGCTGCAGGGCAGAAGCACTAACCACTACACCACGGTGCTGCCCTATGATCTCTGCATCATAGGGCAGCACCGTAGCTATCCTTGAACACATCTCCTGTAACTAAGAGCACCTGTGTTGCATGGGCCTCTGGAGTGGTGGCAACCCTCATTGCTTGAACCTGGAACCATGCGCATATTGGGAACTCAAGAGTCAGAGTGTAATTGCTCTCCTGCCAAGGCTTAGGGCCTGACAAGGGAAGCAGAAGTTTAAATTTGGAACCCGTGGGATTTGAAAATCATGTGGTTACCGTGCCTTCAACTTTGTGATGGTGACAGCATAGTCAACTCTTTCCTCTCCTCCTCCTCAATGGCCTCATCTGATGACTAGTCCCCTCTCTCCCCAAGCGAATAAGAGTCTACACAACTGCCTAGACAAAATGTTGCCGTGATGTTTTGCAGCTCCTTGTCTCCTATGTTTTGGCCTATTCTGGTGCTCTGTCAATCAAGAATATGCTGCATGTGACAAAAGTATTTCTGCAATAGTGTACTCTGATTTCTTCATTAACCAGTTGACATCCGCGGTGTTAAACCCCCTTCCTATCCAGGCCATTTTTCAGTATTCAGCGCTGCGGTACTTTGACTGACATTTATTCCGTCATGCAGCGCTGTACTGAAATGAATTTTATACCCTTTTTTGGGGACAGATAGAGCTTTCTTTTGGTGGTATTTATTCACCACTGGGGTTTTTATTTTTTTACTATATTAAGGAAAAATCACCGAAATAAATAAAAAAAAACAGTTTCCCCTATATTAAATGATAAAACATTTATTATTACCCAATTTTTTGGTAAAATATAAAAGACGGGGTCACGTCGGGTAAAAAGACACCAAAAATGTCAAGCCTTAAAATTGCGTGCGCGCGCAAAACCGCAAAAAAACGATAATACCCAAAATTGGCCCTAGGCGACCTTTAAAAGCTGTT